ATCACCTCCAAAAACACTCCTTGCAGCATGGTGGAAAGAGCCCTTTGAAGTCCTACTCACCATCCCCAATGCAGCCAAACTCCAGAGAGTTGAATCCTGGATCCACCCGTTACATCTCAAAAGGGCAGTACCACCCACTTGGATTTCAGAACCCACTGGTGACTTGACTTTAAAGATTTAATGGGGTCCAAAGCTGCCAACATGCCTACAGCTGTTCCCAAGTCCCCTAGGATGACAAGAAGATAACAGCTGATGTAGACCACCAACCCAAGAACCTGGCCATGGGCTGAGGTTTGCAGTTATTCCATCTATGAACTAAGCCTTTTCTTTTTCCTTGTTACTTATAGTCCCCTCAATCTCTCAATGTCCATGGAAATAGCAGGGTATTTTTCCCCTTTCACTTTTATGTTGTACGTATCTCCCTAAGTTATGATTAATGAAAATTTCATTATTTAAGGTAAAAATTCCTGGGGTTTTAATTTATTTGGGGTTTTGATTGCAGGAATAGTTGTCTGAATTGTCACAAAGCAAATAATAGAAAATGGCATGTGTGGCAGTCTGAGGACTGCTAAGGTGGATGTCTGTGCCTGGGAAAGGTTATAGAGATGATCTAGGATACAGACTAGGTAGGATCCACTTGATTTTATTTCCTCATTGTATTATTTCCTTTCTGGAAAAGGAAAATTCACACTTGGTTAATCCTGAGCCTTGCCTTTAACACTCTGGAACTACATGATTGACTGTCAGATACTACTCCTGCCTGGAATCAAACAGGGCTAAGGGTTTTTTCCCCTTGTTATATGATAACTATGTCCCTCTTTTTTCCTTTTATAGTAAATTGTGATAATTGAGAAATTTTTCAAAATCAGGTTTCAAATGAATGTTCCTCATCAGCCTTCAAGGGTCGTTCAGACCTTGATGGTAAAAAGGAGGGAATGCAAAGTGAATTATGATTTTTATGTTAATCAATATGATATATGTAATGAATATACTAATAATTTAATTTTCTCAAGAGCTGCCTCTCTGGCTCAGGAGTCAGAGCTCACAATGCATCTTGAAATGACCAATCAGCCTTTAACAGTACTCTCATTATTGTGCATGTATTCGTTCAGTGAAGTGAATCAAAGGTTGTAAAACCTGTACCTGTCACAGAACTCTGGTTCTGTGCCTTAGGGGAGGTGGCCATGATCCCCAAAGACACGACTACAGAATTGTTGTACTGTGGGATTTGTGGGTTTGTCATGAGAAACCACTCGGATCCTGGGAAATGATAGCTTGTAATCCACCTTCCCCCTTGTGATTTAAGTATATAACCTGTGCTTTTACTTTAGTTTAGAAAGCATTCCTCACTCTGAAATTGATTAATTAAACTACAACTTGATTACTGGCACTCCTGTCTCTAGGTACTGGAAGGCCTGGAGACTGACTCAATAAAAATCCTATTACTGTAATATAGATGAAGAATCAGAAAATGAAACTTAGGAATAGTTGGACAGATAGGAGGTGAAACAAGTTTATAAAGTACTTTCCTTCAAACAACCTAGTAAAATAGGTAATATTACCACTGTTTTATGCATGAGGAAGCAGTTCAAAGTACCAAGATGACTTGTACACATTTTCATAGCTACAAATTGCATAGCCAGCATAGACCTGACTCCAAGACCAGTGCCCTTTCTGCTACCCTATACTAGCAAAGAGTTACAGACCCCTTTATTATATCTTTATCGCTGTCTTCCTGTGTATAAAGTCAGAGTGGAGTCATGCTCAAGAGCTGGGATGGAAAAGACATCAGATCTGCAGATCTGCTACTGAAAGCTTTGGTGGTAGTTACCTATATGACAAGTATCTCTAATTCAGGAGTTCTTAAGCTGGTGATTTTTTTAAAAATTTTGATAACTGTATTTCAATATAATTGATTTCCTTTATAACCATATGTATCTTATCTTATGCTTTTAAAAGCTTTATTCTGAGAATGGGTCCATAGGCTTGACCACATTGCCAAGTAGGTCCATGACACAAACAAAAAAGGTTAAGGACCCCTGTTCTAGTTAGTGTTTCAATTCCTGAAGCAGTAATTCACAGGATCATGAGATTTAGGGTTTTGAATGGACATTTGAGAATAACTGCCTCATTTTACAGATGAAAAAAAAAATGAGGTCCACAATGGTAAAGCAACTTGTCCAAGGTCAAATTCACGAGCTGTAGCATTGCCATGATTGGAGCCATTATGGCTTCCTTCGTATTCTTTTTATGCAACTAGGCAGCAATGAAAAGAGCACTGAATTTGGAGTCAGACGGGTTCAAATACCACCCCTGCTACTTGGTGTCTTTGTGACCTTGGGAAAGTCTTAATCTTGGAGATCTTAGGTTCCTCGTCTGTAAAATGAAAGAATTATATTAGATGATATTTAAGGCCTTGTTCAACTCTAATATCTCAGTGGCATCTCCCAGAAAGATTTTTATTCATTTGGAAAAGTATATTCAGGCCTCGAATGATGTTGTCTATTCTACTCCCAACTGTACTTTACTCTTTATAGTGGGGATTTTTTTTATTTTGTTCAGTTTATAGTGTGAAACAAAAAGTAGTTTTTTTTAAAATGCAAAAAGCTGGCTGGATTTAATTATGGCTCTGTTAAATTCAGGGTGGGAAACACTTTAACAGAGTCAACAAGATCTTATCTCAGATTAATGAATTTTTATTGTATTCAGAAATGTCCTTTCTTCTATTCCAACCCAAGCTTTAGATGTTTTTTTTTTATCAAAAACTATTTAAGTTCTGTGTTCAAACACAAGTACTTTGGCATATTTGTTAGAATGAGAGTAACTAGCACTTTGTGCTCTTGCTTGCCTGTTCCCATTACACAGAAATACAAAAAAAAAATCAGATATGATGTTTATAGAAACAATGACTGAAATTCCACAGAAAAAAACGACATTGGAAACTGTATTTCAAAAGGTATATTGTCTTCTTTCTTTGAAATTGCTAAAACAGCATAATGTTAACTTTAGAAAAGAAAGTCTTTCCTGCTTCCCTCTGCCTTATCTTTTCTTCTCTACTTGAAAAAAAATCACTTTATATATACTTTCGTTTCTCCTTTGTCAATTGGCCTTCCTCTTTCTTCCCATCCTAGCCTCCCTTTTACTTCTTTCTCTTCAGATTACACATTGTTGTCATGTCTAGTACAGTACCTGACACACCGTATGTAGACACTTAATAAATACTTGTTATATAGAACTGAACTACCCATTTGCAACTAAATAAAAGACTTTTGTCAAGTCACTTCCTAACGACAGTAAGATGACTAACTCTGACTTTTCCACACCCTTCTTCCCCTTTATCCAGTCTTTGAACCCCCCAGATTCTTTCTACTGTGTTTTATAGGTAAGGCCAATCCAATTAAAAAAAAAATATGTTAGACTTTTTTCAAATGTACTCCATTTTAACTATAGCCCTACCTAGTCACCCAAGGAACTAGATATGCATGACTCTGCTAGTTAAGGCAATATACAGTGATGCCTCAAACATCTATAGGTTTAAGGTTTACAAAAAGGCTTCCTCACAACTCTTGGAGTTTGGTAATGAAATATTATCATCCCTAGAGCTCTTAGTAGGGCAGAGTGATAGGGACTCTGATGCAGAGTAGAGATATGCCCAAATTCCCCAAAAATTATCCCTCGGTAGGAAAATAGGAGGTACAGTCGATTGAGTGCTGGGCCTGTGGTGAGGAAGACTCATCTTCCTGAGTTTAAATCTGACTTCAGACACTTATCAGCCATGTGAGTCCCTGAGCAAGTCACTTACCCCTGTTTGCCTCAGTTTCCTCATCTGCAAAATGAGTTGGAGAAGGAAATGGCAAACCACTGCAATATCTTTGCCAAGAAAACCCCAAATGTGGTTACGCAAAGAGTCAGGCACCTACAGGAAACGACTCAACAAAAGCAACAACAAAGGGAAATTGAAAGGCTAATGATGAGGCTTGTATGCCTTTAAGGAAGATATGAGTTGAATTTGGTGGTGGGGGAAAGGGTGGAGCTGTGAGTAGGGGAAGCTAATGGTGTCGAAAAGAGAAATATTCAACTGTCTAAAGAGATTTCTTGGACTTAAGCAGAAGCCATAATTCAGGCGACTGACTAGTCGAAAGGTGGGGAGAAAGACTTGACACTAACACAGATCTAGACCCAGGGAGATGCTCCTCCCTCCCACCCCACCCTCTCCATGGTTCTTTACAAGACCTAACAGTATGTCTCACGCCCTAGACAGCCAGCATCTGTGCTTCTAGGCAACCTCCTATTGGAAATGCACAGCCCACAATTAGCCTTGAGTGGGGGGGGGGTCACTTTTGGCTGGGGGGGGGGGAAGGGGGGGCGGGGGGGACCGGGGGTGCGCCGGGGGGGGGGGGGCGTGGCTTTTCTTCTCCGGTTAGTTTTGTATCCTCCCACCTCAAACTTTCCCTCAGAGATTGAACATAAGGTCAATTTTGCAGGAAACAGTAGGGCACTCTTTAGGGCTCCGGGACCTGTAGGGAATGTCTCAAATCAAGAAGTATTTATTAAGCCCCTACTATGAAGGCACTGTGATAAGAGATGGTTAGGCTGCCCTAAGAAGAGAGATGCTTTCCCAAGCCTAGGAGTTCTAGAGTGGATGATCTCAAAGGTCTCTCTCTTCCAGAGCTAAATCATCTACCATCCTCTTAAGTTACCATGAATACAACCACAAAATGAAGCGAGGATTCTAGTCCCCCTTATTGCACTCGTAGTAATGGAAGGAGGGCTGCATTTGAACTCAAGTTCTCTTGGGCTCAAATCCCAGTTCTATACTTAGCATCTACATGACCTTGGCCAAATTACTTAACCTTTTTGGCCCAAGGTTCCCTCCCACCGTAAAACGGGCGGGGCTGGACTGGACCTCTTTCTGCAGACTGGGGGTGGCTACACCGGGGCACGGGCGTGGGCTCGGGAGCTGGAGCGCGCAGGCGCGAGCGGGGGGGGGGGGGGGCGGGGCTGCGGGCGCGAGGCTGTGGGGCTGGCACGAGCTTCTCTTCCGGGAGCGGTGGAGGCGTTTGGAGGCTGCGGCCCCGCTGGAGCTAGCGGTGAGTACGCCCTGGGCCGGGGCGGGCAGAGCCAGGGAGAGCGGGCGGGCGGGAGGGAGGCTGCAGGGGCCTGGGCCATTCTGTGGCCAGCCAGAGGTCCGGGGGCTCGCCGCTTCACTAGCTGCCTTTGACAGAGCCCACCGTGGCCCCGGAGCTCGCGTGGGGCGGGAGGGGACAACTCCAGGCCGGAGCCCCTCCTCTGCCAGGATACCTGGGTCATCCACCTCCCCTTTCCGGCTCCGACACGTCCTCTGCTGGATTCTGGGGAGTCAGGGAACACCCGGACGAAGCCTGGCTCTAAATGGGCATCCAAGATGGCTGCCGCCCTGGGGTCCCCGCGAGGCGCCTGGAGGGGACCGCGCGAGGAGTTGCTAGGTGATGGACCCCGGGAGAAAGTCCCCTGGGATCCCGAGCTCCAGAGCTTGGAGATCAGTATGCCATAGCCCTTCAGTTTGCAGTCGAAACTGAGGTCTGAAGAAGCCAAGTGATTTCAATTCGACCAACATTTATCTAGCGTCCACTGTAAGACATGCAAAGGCAACTTTGCTAGGTCACCCTGTTATAAAGGGCAGAATTCGAGTTGGAACCCAAGTCTCACCTGTTCTTTTCCAGGCTGAGGTTCTAACACTTGAGGGAGGTGACCCAGTGTTGCTGAGTCCCCCTCGGAACCCAAATTTTCCAGTAAAGTGGGGGGTATTGTTGTTTGCACTGCTGATCTCGCAGGGTGCTTGTGGGAAAGTACTTTTTAAAGCCTTATTGTATTATATAAAAGTCAGCTGGTCTTTTATCTTGCTTAGAATTCGTTTAACAGAAATTTACGTACCGCCTGTTTTGTGCTTGGGGCAGAGTGTAAAGGGAGAATAAAAGAGACTTCTCTTTCACTAAACAGAAGTTCTTAATGGGGAATTTGTGTTTTAATATTTTGATAAGTGTATTTCAATATAATTGTTTTCCCTTGTAATCCTATGTATTTTATTTTATATATTTAAAAATATTATTCTAAGAAGGGAGACATTGCCAGAGGGGCCCATGAGATTAAAAAAAAAAAGAGGTGAAAAACCTGCCCTAAAGGAATTTAAGATTCAGAAATCTTGAAGTGTTAGAGCTGGAAGGCATAGCCACTTCATTTTACAAGAAAAAGTACCGCAGAGAAATTTGGTCAAAGTTACACAGAAAATTCATAGTAGAGCCTAGAGTAGAGACCGGGGTCTCCTTATAAAAGACTGAGAGCTCTTTCCATTGTATTTCCCTGCCCTTGCTAAGTATCTGGCTAGATGAACAGGAACAAAATATTTAATCTCTCTGTGACTCAGTTTCTCTAGCCATAAAATGAACACTGGAATATCTTATCTCCTGTTCCCCTTCTGGTTCTAACATTCTATAATTCAAGAGTTATATTGTGTGCTATGCTTGTGAGTCCTCCAGAAATTAAAAAAGAGTAATGTTCCCTGCACTGGTGTAGCTGGAGAAGGTCTTATAAAGACAATGTAGGTCAATAAAAGCATAGGAAGTTTTAGAACATCCTTTTTGTGTTACCCTTCATAGGGATAGCTGTGAAATGCAGGTGTTAAAATGTGTAAGCTGGGACCTCTTACTTTAATCCCTACAAAGAAATAGATGATTTCTATGGTCCGTTTTAACCCTAAAATCCTTTGATCCTAAGTTAGTCCTGTGGAAACTATAGAGACTGGATAAGATTGTTTCTGAAAGGCCAAGAACTAATTAGTTTTTGGAAGAATTCACTTAACCACCTACTGTAAAGTCTGGTGTCTTAGGTTATGAGATAGTATCTCTGTTCTTGTGGTCAGTCCTCAATAAATATTGACCTAATTTCGAATAAGATCCAATTCATCCCTGGATTTTAAAGTAGCAGTAAACAGTAATCACTTAATCACTTTTCCTTTTTTAATGGAGAAGTTTTACTGACCATCTAGATTATTAATCCATGAGTTGGGATTTGTTAAATGTGCACCTCTTATAGAGTAAGGGGCAAATGAGTTGTTTTCAAGTCCTTTCCAGCTCTACCTTTTATAGTTTTTCAGTAGAACTACTATTAAATAGCTATAGTAGTCAATATTAGTATTGGTGTGACAGTAACAATATATTGCAGAAATATTGAAACAAAAGTAACTACAAAACTGATACTATAGAACCATAAAATGCCCTTTGTGACTTGGCACAAAGTAACAGAATGCATAGGTATGCTGTCTACATACATTGAGTTTAAATGTTACAAATCCCTTTTCTCTAAAGATATTATGGTACAATATGTTGAAATGAGTTGATGTTTCCTTCCATGGTATTTTGCTCCTTTTTATTGTGGTTTTAGTTAATCCCACAAACATTTATTAAATTCCTGGTATGTGTGAGTCCTGATGCTAGACCCTTTATAATCCAAAGGAAGATAGATGTAAGACCGTCCCAGCTTTCAGAGAGCTCAAAATCTCATAGACATATGTGAAAGACATATATACAAATAAGTATGCTATGAGTGAAAATAAGGAAAAAGCAGAGGAAAGATCCACGCAAACATTTAGGAGAGATTTGAAGGGGGTGAGAACATTCCTCTGGAGAAGGGAGAGAGTGACAAAAGTCTTTGTGGAAAAAGAAAGGTGAGGGAGTTTATCAAAAGGATGTTCCAGGCTTAGGAGACAGCATGAGCAAAGGATGAAGTCTTGTGAAGAGGAGACAGAATAGCAGAATTTGTCAGGTATTTAGAGTACTGAGTAGAATGCTTCAGAGGGGCAATGTGGGATAGTGGATAGACAGGTGCCTAGAGTCAGGAACTGGGTTCAAATGCTCCCTTTTTACATATTGGTTATGCAGTTCTGGTCAAGTTACTTCACATTGTGGTGCCACAGACTACTATAAAACTACAGAATGTTGAGCACCTGCTGATCTTAGGAAGAGTTTTTTTTTTTTTTTTTCCTCCCCACACCAATGAGATAAGGGGTCTGGACCCTTCATCCTTCTCCCCAGATGCTGAATGTAATATCCTTGTGAGCAAGGACTTCACTTGGTATTATTTTTATTCTTTTTTTGTTTGTTTGTTTTTCTTTTTTGCTTTTTTTGGTGAGGCAATCGGGGTTAAGTGACTTGCACAGGGTCACACAGCTAGTAAGTGTCAAGTGTCTGAGACTGGATTTGAACTCAGGTCCTCCTGATTCCAAGGCCAGAAACACTGTGCCACCTAACTGCCCCTATTATTTTTATTCTTAGTGCTTAGCATATAGTAGGCATTAGAGTTTACAGTAAGATAAAGCTAGATGATTATTTTGTTGGTAGTACAAAGGACAAAATTGGGAGGAATATCACTTGTAAGACCAGTAACTACTATAGTCTAGAAGACTAGAGGACTTGAATGTGGATGTACATAGGATCATAGATTTAAAGGTCAAGCCCAACCCTCTTGTTTTATAGATGAGAAAGTTGAGGCCCAGAGAGATTATCACCCTATGTGACACAGTAAGTGAAGAAGCCAATATTTGAACCTAGTTCCTCTGACTCTGAAGTCCAACTCAATTTCCCCTGTACCTTGGTTTCAGTGAGATTGGGGAGGACGAGAATAACATGAAAGATTGAGGAGCCTATCTTATCAAATGACTGGAAGGGTGAGGGGTGTGTCAAAAATGATTCTTCTGACTCTCCTTTTATTGTCTTCACTCAGCATGCTCTTCTCTGGGCTTTCTTCACCCAGATATAACATCTAATCCAGATAGTGATATCAGTCATCTAGAAGTCTCCAGATCATTCTTCCTTTCTCAAGGAATTCAGTACTTGGCTTATGGTCCTGTCCTTTTGGGCAGGAATTCAAACATACGTGTCGGTGTTCTCTCAAACCCCAGTTCCTCAAATTATTCAGCTTCCATCACCTTTTTCTCGTCTCCTCTTTAGAGATGGTTATACACATGATCTTGCCATCACCTCCTAAGTGTTCCATTTTCTTTTATTTTCTTTTTAACATTCTTTTCTTTTTAAATTTTGAGTTTGAGATTTTCTCCCTCCCTCTCACTCATCCACCACCTACTGAGAAGGCAAGTAATATGATAACAATTGTATACAACTGAAATCATGCAAAACATTTTCATATTAGTCATATTATAAAAAAGGGCAAAATAAAAAAAGCAAGAAAAGTATACTTCATTGGGCATTCAGAGTTTGTAAGTTCTCTCTCTGGAGGTGGATAGCATTTTTTCATCATGAGTCATTTGGAACTCTCTTGGATCACTGTATTGATCACAGTTGATCATCATTACAACATTGCTATTACTGTGCACAATGATCTCCTGGTTCTACTCACTTCACTTCAGTTCATATAGGTCTTGACATTTTTTTCCCCTGAAACCATCCCCCTTATCAGTTCTTATAGCTCAATAATACTCCATCACAATTATATGCCATAGCTCGTTCAGCCATTCCCCAATTGATGAGCATTCCCTTAATTTCTAATTCTTTGCCACTAAAAAAAAAAGAGCTGCTATAAATATTTTTACACATATAGGTACTTTTCCTTTTTCTTTTATCTCATTGGGGTACAGACCTAGTAGCAGGATTGCTGGATCAAAGGGTATGCACATACCCTGTGGGTATAGTTCCAGATCGTTCTCCAGAAGGGTTAGACCAGTTCACTATTCTACCACCAATTCATTAATGTACCAATTTTCCGTCATACCCTCCAGCATTTGACATTTTTGATAGGTATGAGGTGATATCTCAGAGTTATTTTAATTTGCCTTTCTTTAATCAATAGTGATCTAGAGCATTTTTTTTCAAAGGATTAGATAGCTTTGCTTTCTTCTGAAAACTGACTTTATATCCTTTGGCCATTTATCATTTGGGGGATGCTTTTATTTTTTTATAGATTTGACTCAGTTTCCTATATATTTGAGAAATGAGGCCTTTGTCAGAGAAATTTGCTGTAGAATTTTTTGATACTATTTTGTTTTCTATTAGCAAAATGCAGTTTTTGTTGTTGTTTGCTTTATTTGCTTTTTGTTTTG